AACTGCGGCAGCGACAAACAGCTGACTGACGCTTCAAAACATCACTCAAATTCCTCGATCATATGTTATTTCCTCATTTTCACTGAGTTTTAAAATCCCTCGAGGAGGTAGACCTCCCGGAAGTTAAGGTGTGGGACAGTTTTTGGTTAGTCTTACACCAAATGAGTTATTAGACACTTGTGTTTATCAAGAAAGCTGTGAAACAGGCAGCATCTGGTCTGGCATTTTTTTCATAGTCATCATTGTGCTACAGTACCCCTCAGACTCATTTTACGCCATTTCACTGCAGATACTGCCATATGGCGCTGACTGCTGGCCGTCATTATTGTTTCTAATGGGAATTCACACTTTTGACTTTCCGCTGTTTACTGCAGTGTTATTGATTATTTGGCCCTCATAACGCCCTTATAGCTCCAATCAACTCCACGAGCATCTGGGCAACGTGCTACAGGTATGGCAGAGTGATTTAGACCTCCTATAGTTTCTCAGCAGGCCATCGGTGCGACGTCACTTGCAATATCCCAACTCACCTAATCAAAGACCACAGGGGACGCTCGGGAGGGGGTGGAGTAGAATTAAGCGCTGCAACCACCGAGTGCATGATCAGGCGGTCGATTTCCGGATCAGTTCCTCCCAAACCAACCAAGCCCTGCTCCACTGCTTTGGGTTTGGTTATTGAGCTATTATTTGACACCTAACCGGTATAAGAATATGACAGCACCCGGGAGCTCTGAATTGTAGATCGGCTAGTCCCTGCCGTTACTGTAACGATGAGCTACGCATCCAAACACCAAGACGATTCTAAATGGATGCGGATAGAGTGGGCGCATTCCAAAAAGGGCCTTGATCACCACCAACAGATTTTTTCCGCTAATTTTAGTTAGGAGTGCTGCCCCATTAATCAAAAGTAGAAGATCAGCTAGTCCGGAAATCGTTAGATTTCGTGACGAAATTTGGAAGAAAGCGGTCAGCTCGGACAAAAACAAGGTTGAATTCGGCTCCATCGAAAAGTAAGAACCAAGAACCGTGAAAAACAAGGTAAACAACAGCTGAAGGAATTCCGTAAATAAGTTTGGCACATAAGAAATAGAATAACAGCGACACTGAGCAGCTGCAGGAGTCACTTGACGATCAATAAGAATGCGAATGATTCAATGGACTCTGTTATTCTTAGAGTTTGGACTTGATAGCGTTCTACTAGCATATAAAGTAATAAAGTCTTCAGCTTGAATCGATCTCGTATTTGGTATGCGCCTTGCATTCGACCTCCATTCAGAGACGTGGCACTTCTTTGAATGTGTGTGCGGTGACTATACGATGACTTGCAGTGACCAGCCAAGTACAATTCAATGCTATTATCCTCAGAGACGAGACTGTTAGAAATGAATGAAACCCAGGGGGGGGGGTGAAAAGATTGCTTGGCCCAAAGGAATATCGATCCGGGATTCGAACCGTGGGGCATACGTGTGTGGTAGTGCGCCACTTGTCACTATACTAGATCCAAAACACTGACTAGAGAAGCCACCACACCGGATGCTTTACTCTTCAAATTTCGGAACTTTATTAGCAGAACATACCAATTTCCTGCATAAAAGACCGTTTAGTTGATGCCATAACTGAGGAGTTAATCGAAATTCAAATTACCCCATGATTTCCTACAGTAATTTCATGCCTCTAAAAACCAGTAATGAAACCGAACTCTTGGCATTAACCGAGAAGAGAGCCTGAGCTGAGTGATTTACCTCCTCAAACTGTTTTCGGCCAATTTGTGCTCAAAAAAGAGTTGACTCCTGAGGCTGCTCCCAAATCATTTATGGTGAATGGGTAGCTAAATAATGGTCATTCAGTGCACATTAGCAAAGGTTGGTGCGGGCTGAATATCAGTGGTCCTGACGCGTCTATCTGATGCCGTCGAGTGCGCGGTAACCCAGCTGCGACTAGGCAACCGTCGTGGCGTATCCTGACCCATGCCCACCTTTCCGCCTTCCACATACTCGGCTTCAGTATGACAAATCTAGATATCTTTACCAATGAGTTGAACATTGAATGATTGATTTCACAGATATTAAACTTTATTATTGAATAACAACATGTATTGCGCTTTTATATAAAAGAATTACCCGTTAATGAATAGTGCCGGATTGAAAAGGCAACGATGATGAATGATTAGATATCACACAAAAACTGTATAGACGAGACTATAATACTTGTAAAACTCTATAAAACTGATAAACATTGGTCGTTTTCTGATGACTACTATAACATTGCAATATTCGTACATGGTAAAACTAAAGTATTGAGAAGATGCCGAGCTTCATCGTGATCAGGTCGAAGCCGTATAGCTTCTTGAACGTGTGATTTCGCCAGATCCATATTTTGCAGATCAAAATGACATTTGGCTTGAAGAAGATGACACTGTAAAAACCTATGAATAACCGTCAGTCACTTGTTTATACTTAGGCGTATGCAATCATGGGTTGTGGGCGGGGCGAACCGCTGTCATTGGTCGCTCGCACGTTTCGCCAATAGTAGGGAAGCGAGCTACGGTTTTGACTGTAATCCCACTAGTGCTCTGTACTACTACTAGCGGCAAAAATCCGTAAAACAGTATCAGTCCGTTCTAGTGAGTAATAATGTGGGTAAAATGGGCCCAGTAGGGTTTCAATCGCTTCCTGTTACATTGAAGTGCTGTGGGCGGGGCGCAGCAATTGGTCGTCGCTCACCTCAAAGAGAACTTGTTCGCAAGCTTGAACCTCAAGTGAGGCACAAATGTCGATGGCCTGCTGGGTTCGACCCTGTCGTCGTAAAACTCGTGCTATCGACATAATGATCTGTTGACGGACTTTCAGAATTCCACTTTGCATGTCTAAATAACTGAGGGCTCTTACAGTGTTCCTCATTTTCATGGTTGTTAAAAAATCATGAAGCCATGAATAACATAAAAATCTTTTTTGAAAAATCTTAAGTGAAAGCAGAACGGGAAGAGAACGACGAACCTTGCAATTGCTCTACTTTCTTGCACATTTCGCATTTATTCAAAGCATAATGGAGCCGATGCATAGCGTCTTCGAATCGTTTCTTCCTGAAAAAAAAAAACTATTTTTGATTCAGTAAATAAAAGTTCCGAAGGGACTAGGCTGGTCACATTGCTCCCGCGACCGAATGACCGCAAGAGCCGTGCCGCTTCGTGACCGATTGGATTGGAATGAATCCGATCGGCTGAAGTTCTACAGAGAAGAGGAATTCACCTGAATAGAATTCCTGCATCATCCATGAGCTTCGAAAAGAGGACGAAAAGTGCTTCAGGATAGGATTCGATGGCCGTTTGCCAGGTAGTGGATCGTAATCGAGCTCCCCTGATCGGATCAATAATTAGTTCAGTACTGAGTGGTTTCGAAACGATGAATTTACCAAAAAAAAAAGAGATTCCATTGAGCAGTGTAGGTCATAATTACCTCCCAAGCAATGCCTCCAACGCCGGCTTATTTTTATTCATGAGGGCAATCTGGACAGGATACATCCCATCGTCATCAGGCTCCTCTATAAGCATACCTTCTTCTAACAGTCGATCGACAATTGCTCGACATGCTGACGCACAAGCGATATGTGCCAGGGTTTTGCCTAAATAGAATATACATGAAATTTGGAACCCTTTCAGCTAAAAAGCGGCAGAATGTTAAAAAGAGGAGAATAGTGGGCGTGTTAACATCATCGGCGCCACGGCGCGGCGCGATAAACTATAAACGCGCGTAATAGACATCGAGTGGGGGTAATTCAAAACGCGATGATATTCCAAATTGCCCGCAATTTTTTATGCCGTAGGCCTCACGTACATACCCAGCAACCTGCCCTTATCTTCAATCCTTAAATATTTCGAAAAAGAATCCTACTGGAAATTCTTCGGTCCATAACCCCTCAGTAATCACCGAGTTGAGCACTACATTATTCAGGCGTAAGGCTTGAGAAAAAACGCTGAAGATTCTCTCCAGATTAAAACGAAAGGAATCAGAACATTCTTGCTCCATTTGCATTGTCTTTTAAAAACGACCTTGTAGNCCTTATCTTCAATCCTTAAATATTTCGAAAAAGAATCCTACTGGAAATTCTTCGGTCCATAACCACTCAGTAATCACCGAGTTGAGCACTACATTATTCAGGCGCAAGGCTTGAAAAAAAAACGCTGAAGATTCTCTCCAGATTAAAACGAAAGGAATCAGAACATTCTTGCTCCATTTGCATTGTCTTTTAAAAACGACCTTGTAGGTCTGAGACGCATGTGGTCGCAGCGCGGCATGGAGAGCTGACTGATTGCCGTCAGTAGAACGAACTGCATCACCACGTCGCGATCGCCTCAGTATACAAATTCCAGATTTTTCTACCAAGTGAGCCTTTTTTTAATTAGTACATTGAAAAATGCTGGGAAAAGGAAACCCACCGTTCTTGTCTTTACCAGTAATCTCAGCATTTCGATCGAGCAGAAGCTGTACTGATGATAAATGGTTCTTATGGATAGCGTGTGCCAGTGCTGTCCAACCGTGATCATCTCGTTGATTGATATTAGCACCTAAACATAATTATCATTGCCGAGGATCCCTTGAAATAAATCTTATCTAGCATTTTTGTGGGTTTTGTACATTTCCAATCTATGCTGCTGTAAAAGGCGAAAGGCTCAGCTGCTCAGCAAAAATGCTGCATCTCAGAAGAAATGGTTTCTGAGATTTTCCTATAAAAAGAGACGGACTGAAGGAACGCCTCGATAAAGCGTGAAATACCTTGAAGATCGTCTTAATGGTAAACAGCTAGCAGTTATCGTGGTCGAACAAAAAGCCCGTGTGGTCGCCTATTTTCGAAAATATTTTTTAAAATTCAGCTGTTCTGTACAGTTGTTCGCTCCACTCGATTGTATTTGTACTTTGGTTGCGATTCAGGGTGGGCTTTACAAAACAAATTAATAATAAACAAACAAAATGCAATGCGTACCTTTGTTAAGCAGCATGTCGATAAGTCCGACATGTGCGCATCGTGCAGCAGCGATGATTGGCGTCCTGCCGAACGCGTCTCTACATTCGATGTCGCAATTTGGTAGGTTGAATACAGCCACAACCAGATCCCAACTGCCACTTTCGACGGCACATATCAAAGCAGGACGTTCTGCAGGCCATTGCATTGTGGATAGGGTTGCACCACTGGAAAATGCTTGCACTATCTGATATTGTCAGACTGTCGGATCAAGAACTTGGAAAAAATTTTGGAGCCATGAAGGCTTAATGTGATAGTCTGCAGCCCATGAACGTATTCTTTGGTCTGGTTGCGCTCATTGGCCAACTACTTAGATGGGCGCTACCGATGGGCAAAATCCAAAGGGATTCATTCACGAATTTGAGGAAGCGGAGCGAAAGTCTGTCCATACAGAAGAGCTCCAGAGCAGTACTAAATGAGGGCGTTTCAACGCTTATGACTTACATCGCGACCATGTACGTCCGCACCCCTACCTTGCCTTGTCCCAAATGTCGTCTATCTTTTTTTGTGTCGTTCTCACCTTTTTTTAGCTAGGACGGGTGGCGAAACACTAGTTATTCGTTTGAGGTCGCCGGTTATTTCGATTAGCTTAGCGATTATTTCGGTCGGCACAGGCGGCTGTAATGGTGTCTCCTGACCCATACCTTACATTTCTATTCACATCCCTTTGCTTCCATAGTTTTGCTATGTGGGACGACATAGTTAAAGTATACTCACATTTACTCGCATTATTTGAATCTGTACTGCTATTCTCATTCTCATAATGGGAAGAAGTTCTTACCGCGACAAGAAGAACTGAACGGTATCGGCTTGACCATGTTCACACGCTGCACACATAGCTTTAGCGAAGTCCGTGCATGCGAACGAGTCGACCAGCACTTCGCAAACTTCTGTCTGACCTGAAACCTGGCAGTATTCAATCTCTATGATTCAGTGAAGTGTAAAACCCCTGCGTTTCCAAGACAGTATCACTCAAAGTTTTAATTTTCTAGCTTTCACAGACTGTCACTAGTCCCCCGCACATCGGCTCTGAGCCAGCGTAGCTGCAACTCCCTTTGCACTTAATCCATCGTTTTCCTTCTCAAAGGAGGATATTTGAAACGGAGCACATTGTGCTGATTTGGATTTGAAAAAGGGCGAAATTCGTGGGAAAGGAGAAGCCTGGGAGGAAACACTGTCTCTGAGCCACCACAAAACCATAAGAGACTTTTACCATAAGAAACATGCGAAAATGAATTAGCTAAATGAAAGTAAACGATATCTTTGACAATGTGCATAGATAAGTGAATCAAGCGTTTCTTCACCTTCCGGTACCCTTCCCTTCCAAACCTAACGACCGACTTTTAAACTTTATATGTTACAAACCGAGGAAGAAAGAGTTGCAGCTCAACAAGCAAATACCTGCGCCGGCAGCTGCTACCATAGCATTCTCTATAGCTGTAGTTCGCTCTTCCATCTTTGGCCACTTCTGAGCGAGGATACATCGCACACACTAAAGTATCAGAATTATAAGCTTGTAATTGATAGGTTATGAAGAAGTTCACCTTCACGTAGCCATTCCGTGCAGCTTCAATGAGAGCAGTTGCAGATGTTTTCATATTGTCAAGGGGAAGAAGCAATGGTAGCAGATCCAGGTGACCATGTTTAGCCGCAATAGTGAGAGCAGAGTCACCTGGAAACATCGACCGATAGTCTGGCTTAATTCATTTGAGTTGATTTATTTGAGCACGAAATGCGCACGGGCAACGTTACCGAACGGTTTGACTTTATTTAATGTTTATGCTATACCTTGGCCCACACAACTGCTTGAACGCTCTCAATTTGCAAGTTTTCGAGAAGTGGCGAAGCTTCGCTCTCATCCAGCAACCGTTCTGCCTTTGCGCGCACTTGGAGAATCCCCTTCCGAAAACATATTTCAACGTCTCTCGCATCACCAGCTACCAAATCGCAAGCGTGAACAGTTCAACGACAAGAAATTGCTTGCCCTGGCTCAGTTACGAGCCCTTTTCAGGGACAATTATTAGGGAATCATTGCGTAGGAAACCTGGAGAATAACGAGAAAGCGGCCGAGTTCAAAGTTCTGCTACTTCTATGGTAAGGGTCGGTCGTTCCCGAGCAAATGCTGTTGTAGCCATATATGCAGTTTCCGAAACGTTGCTCAGAGTTGCTGCACACAAGGATCTCGATTCAGAAAGATTTTAGTTCATCTTGAATTGTATGTTGATCAAGTTGGTCTCGAAGATACTGTGGGGGGTGGGGGGTGGAGATGTCTGATCGAGTAATTTCAAAAATTGATTCCATCCTTTCAGGCTCCGACAAAGGTGGCTTCACCGAAACGTTAGCCATTAAGGTATTGTAACCCTCGTGGAATTGTAGAAATAAAGTCATTTCGAGACTGATCAGGTCGAAGTCACACCACACAGCTGGCAATGAACGAGGAAATATCAAAACAAGTCGAAACAAATTAAATTTTAAAAGTCAGTAGAAACAAAAAAAACTATTCACACCTTGTTTTTGATGAACGAGCCCACCATGGCCGATGAACAAGTTGACCAGATGAGCGTTACCGGCCGCTACAGCAGCTTGCATTGCTGACATCGACTCCGACGGGTCGATGCTGTTCACGTCTGCGCCCGCCATGAATAGAAGTTGGGTCACCTGTGATGAAAGATGGTTGAGGAAGTAATGGAGTGAAATACAGTGCAAGTTACCCCACAGAAACCTTTGTTCTTATTCTTACTAACAAAACTGTTGATAAATTCAGTTTAACCTCAATCGAAGACAATTTACGTCAGATTGATTTCCCCTATTGTACCCGACGGCAGCGAAAATGGTTGTGAATAGTGTTGCTTGACTTCACTTCCCGGGACGTACAACACTACCCTCGCACCCACTCCTTTTATCACGGATACCAAGGGGAAGGCCCCAGTTCTTCCCAGCATGTATATCGTATTAACTCCAATCTTTCACAGCGAGCGGCTATTCTTTACTCTTGTCTCTCCTGCCTTTCTCGACCCCTACGTCGCATTCTCTTGCAGCTGCCCATGTGGTTTCTACATTTTTGACAACCAGGGGGAATGGTAGTTGGTCTACGGCCTAGGCCTAGGACTAGTCTCCTTACCGAATCTGAGCCAGTAGATACAATAAGAAGGTGGGAGAAAAGTAAAAGGAAGTAGTAAGGGACTGTAACTCACTTTGGTATTTGGGAAGAACATATTCCGATAGTTGAAAAGTGCTCGTTTAATGTCATTTGAACATTGCTTGACCCAGTTAACCTGGCCATCTTTCATCGAAGTGTACTGTAAAGCGTATTCCAGTAAAAAGCAAAGCTCAAATAGGACATAAGTATTAATTCAAAGTAGTACTCCTCAAAAAGAAAGACGTCGTACCTCAGGGAGATATTTCCCGTGCATATACTTATACGGATGTGCTTTGAGAAGATGATGAGCTAATTCGAACAATTGGACGGAGCTCAACGGTGCTTGTTGAGTGAGATATAAAGCGAAGAGTATGTGACCATGCCTTAATAGGGAGCAATTGAGGAAATTATAAAAAGTCACACTGATATAAGTAAAGTAAAAAAGGATGAAGTTTTTGGCGTTAATCAATCCCGTCTGAGGGATGCGCCCACGCACTCGACTTCCATTCAGAATCGTAGTGATGTACTGAATGCGCACATATGTGGCCCATACAATGATTGCGGTGCCAAGCCGATGAACAAGTCAGTGCTTTTATCCTCCCCGACGAGTCTGGTACCAATTTACCGACCCCGGAGGGATGGAAGGCTTGGTTGGATCTCATCGATCCGAGATTCGAACTCCGAACCGTGCGTGTGATATAAAGCGCCACTTGCCACTACACCACCTCCGCCCACTGACATAAGTGAATTAGTTAATTTTGAAAGGCAGAACTGAAAACACAGTGACTAAGAAATTCAGCAATCCCCAGAAACTTCCCTGAAAAAAATATGAAAGGACGCTACTCACTCGTGTGTGCGTAATCTATCAATATGTCCTATGATATCACAATCAGCCCACCAGATTGAGCTTTTCAATCTTTTCATTTTTTATGATAAACAACAAAGGAGTTCAAACTACCCCTCAAGAAATTGAGTAAACACTTTGATTCAGCTTCATCTAGATTGCGTCAAGAAGAAATCAAGAAGTACCTGGCATCCGAAGGGAATTTTGGATGTGTAGCATTCTTAAGAAGCCATTCTCGTAAAGCCGTATCGTGCAATGTCATAGTACCGTTTCCAGCGAATGATATAAGCGGTGCCAAAATTGTGAGGCTGCAAAGTTGAACCTAATCTCATGAATACCGGATTCAACATTATAAATCACAGTTCTAACCAGCCAGAGATCAAGAAACGAAAAATGAGGTTGCTCACATTTCATCCAGCTGCATGTCAACCATCGGCACATCCGATTTTGGAGAATTAAATATGGATAGCAAAGTGTTTCGATCGAGTGGTCGAAGCGAAGCCAAGAAAACGTCTAACACTGGCACAACTCGGGCGAATGTGGCCGGAGAGCTGAAAAGTAAAGAGCTGGGAGAGATTATCAAATAATGATAAAAGGATTTCCAATTTCAGCCTTTCAAGGCTTCTACTGAATGGTTAGAGTCCCAAGAGGTTTTTGACGGCTGAACTGAGCTCGTGGGCTAGGTTTGATCTCGAGACTTATATCTTATGTCTTATAGAACGCTAACAATCTATATACAAAGTCTGTGACTTTGTAGATAGATTGTTAGCGTTCTATAAGGCTAATGATTGGTGAAAGGGGCGGAGAGGTGCAGTGGCAAGAGCCTACTATCATGCGCAGGGCCGGGGGTTCGAATTGAGGCTCAATACATCCCCGGCCATGATTTTACCCTTTTTAGGGTGAATGAACACAAAACAGTGACGACGATATTTTTAAATTCGTTATTTGGCTAACAAATAGAGCCTGGGCTTAATTACCAGAAACGATTTAGAGAAAGGAGCCACCCAGTTTAGATAAGCCAAAAAAGCAGCTACACCTTAAAGGCACCGTTCACAAAAAAGTTAGGGTACCTTTTTTGACGGGAATTGATAGAACTACTCTAGAATAAAGCGATAACAACGAAAAAAGCGCAAAAAACGATGAACAAAAAGAATAACAAAGGGTCAAAAAAGAGCTGGAAAGGGGGGTTGGACGAGTTTCACATTGAAATAATGGCGGTTAGGGAGTGTTCGGGCGAGTGCACGAAGGCGACGCAATGTGTTGTCTGCAATAGCAGACAACACATTGCGTCTCTGGCTATTTGCCAACCAGCTTATCGACTTTTCACCAAGTTCGCTCCAGTGCGAATGTGGTGAAGGACAATTAGAACTCGTAGTCAGCCTAGCGAGGGGCGGAGGCCTCTCGTCCCCACTGTTCCTGCCCTTATTGTGCCCTATCCAGCCGTTTTCCGACCTCATTCCTGCACAAATTTTATCAGAGGGGGCTTCGAATTCAAACCATGTGCAAATCTCCGAAACCACTTTTTCGTGAACAGTGCCTTTAAGCTTTCTACAAAAATTATATAATGCTTACGTGAACGTCAGCTCCATGATGAGTCCATAGAGATCGAGATCGTCTGTAGGTAAATTCGTCTGCACCAGATATCTCAAGGGTAATCGGCCTGTCTCGACGAGCCTAAAAGGAAGTGAATTCTGCGTTGAATAAGTTGGAATTTCATGTGACTTTGGGAATTTATTCAATTCTCAAGCCGAAAATATACTCGAACGATCAAAACCACCGATTCTGCCTGAACTCT